AGGTCTGAGAAGTAGGACATGGAGGAATTATGTCAGAGTGTGAAGGTGAGGCTGAGTTGTTTAAGCTTGTGGTGCTGGGATTACCCTATGGAACTGATTGACACCTGACACAAAAGCATATATGTTTTATTAAAGGGCCTATTAAAGCCTAATAGCTGCAGTGAGTGTAGCCATGATAAAAGGTCTTGCTATGGCCCAGCAACAGGTCAAAAGGATTATCAGCTTGCTCAAGACACCTTTTGCCCCCTGCCTGTTCATAGTAAAGGCAGTGAACAAATATAAACTAACTGGAGCTCATGAAATTGGCGGTTGCCCAAAGGCTGAGAGCAGGCTTGATAGCCCATTGGTTGCAATTTCTACTGTTTTCTTTTCTCCTTTCATCTGTCCAGTAGTGCTTTACCTTCACGCCTTCTCTCTGTCCCATTTAGTTTTCCTCCTCCTCTTCCCACTCAAAGTAAACACATGACATCCTGCATCCCTCAAAGGGTTTCTGCCGAATGGCTTGACTATTCTTGTATGTGTTCCGCCAACGGAGGGGGTGAGTGAGAAGAGACAGAGCCCTTCTGACATATCAGCTACTCTCATGATAATCCAAGAGCTCACAATGAGCCAGCAGGATGGGACTGCTCTCACGTAGGCCCTAGGCAAAGGCCCCCCACGTTAGCATGATGTCAACGCCAGTAATTTTCCACCCTCTACAGTGGGACTCTGGGAGAATCTACTGTGGAATTTGGAAGGGAGGGGTTGGAGGGAGGAGCAAATGAGAATGGGATAGAGTACATGAAATTGCCATGAAGTCCCGTACCAAGAGTTCCAAACAAGTACCACTGTCGGCCCATGAAGCTGCTTTTCTTAGAAGCAAGGAGGCACAGAGAACTGGTAGCTAACACCCGAACGAGAAGCGACTTGGACTTCCAGGCCAGGCTATTCAGTTGATTCAGTGTGTGACCAGGCCAGAACAAGGCTATAATATTAGATCAGGACCCCTGTGTCCCACATGTGTGTTGCCCTTCACGGGGGAAACAAACAGCCTCAGAGACAATCCAGCACCAACTAGTTCAACTGTTGGTGCTCCTAAATCACCATTTGCCCCAGCAAGAGCTGAGGCAGCTGGATCAATCATCTGAGAGGGATCAGGCACAGATATGGCTCATCACTGTGACTTGAGCATGAGTCCTAGTTTCAATGCCCGGCTATTGTGCTGGAAAATCACTGCCTGTGGACGTGTGCAAGAGCCTGGGATGCACAATGTTCCGGGGAGGTGCTGCTGTTTGCAACTGCACACCATAAAAGGCTGCTTCAGTTTGTCCTGGGGTGGCAGAAGATGCATGGGGGTTTTTTGGCTTGTAACTTTCTGGAGTGAGGGCAGCCAAGCTGGGCCAGGACCGTGGTACAACTCAGCCAAGCCTCTATAAACCAGCTCTTTAAAAAGCCACAAAGTCACCTTTGCTGACATTTGCGAAGGGATTATATGCAAGTCACAGGACTGAGAGCTGGCCCCTGCTGTGAGTAGGCGCTCAGCAGCAGGGAATGAATTTGTGCTAATAAATGAGCCTGCACAGTTTTCTCTTCTGGTAGATGCAGTTCTGAGCTGCTGGTAGACACGTTTGAGCTAAGGTTGCCAGATGGTTTCACAAAAAATACCGAACCCACCAAAAAAAACACCGGGGAAAAATTCTATTCAGCGGGGAAAAAAAGCTGCAGGAAAAGTTGAACAAAAAAGGGGGGGAGGACTAGGGCCAAAATGCAGCCCCTTTAATTCCCGGGCCACTCCCCCCTTCCTCTGCCCCATCATGTGCCAAGCGGCCTTCCATCGGGCACCTGAGCCAGGCCTCAGGAAGAACAGAAAATACAGGACATTTTAGATGTCCGATATTTTCTGCTTTTTTTTACCAGATGGAAGGCACAAATACCAGGCTGCCCGGTTCAGTACGGGATACCTGGCAACCCTAGTTTGAGCTGGTCTTCTCTTTCCATTTACTTCAGTCCGAGGATGGCCGGCCACACGCACCTCTTTGCCAGTCCCTTGTGGCCTCCGACCTGATTCACCACGTCCATGAAAAGTGAACTTTCCCTGTAACCATACTGAGCTGGCAGCGTTTTGCAGCATTTGCACTGCTTGCAGGGAATGGGACAGCACCTTTTATGTAGCGACAACCGGGACACAGCCTCTGTGCACTTGGGACATTGCCCAGCTCCCAAACTGGGCTGAGGCAGTTGCCGCATGGACAAATATCCTTGAATGGAAGTGGGGAGGGGGGGGGCGGGTAAATGGGCTGAAGAAATGACTGATGTTCTGGGCACTGTTGCTCACAAAGCCGGGGAACAAAGCCAGTTACAGTGCCCACGAGAGGGGCTTTATTCTCGCCCTATAAAATAATTAGCCCTCACCATCCTGACATGCCATGAGCCAGTGTTCAACACTGCAGCACTGAGCCACTAAGATGCACGCCAGTGCTGCCAGTCACTGGAGGGGCAACGTCATGCAGCAAGAGGACTGTCCATGTGGTAGGTGAGCCTCAGCGATCAGCATGTTGGGAAGGTTTTAAAGCAAACGCCGCCACCTTAGCCTGCTTGATATAAAAAAGTCCTAGCTAGTGAGTTCTAGGGAGGTGGGACCATCATATCTATACAATGCCCAGCAAAACACCACCCTGCGCACCAGCTGAGGTGCTTTCATGCTAGCACACTAACATACAAATGGGTGCCTGGCTTTCTACCAGGTCAGTGGGGTATGAGCTTAGCATTGTTCCCTGAGAGCTTGGCTGGGGCGGATAGAACCTCAGTTCATCCAATACAACTGTCGCTTAGGCTGAGCATGCCGCAAGTAGTCAGACACAACACAGTCAGTGGTAAGCCCTCACCTCGCCTCATTACACAGCCCCAAATTAAAATAGCCATAGATGGCTGCTGGCCCACTTGGACTGACAGAAGCACCTGCCCATAGCCGCAGAATTTAGCTCCTCACCAAGCATAGCTTTGCATCCAAAAGCAGCAGCTGTTGTCTCTGGCAGGGAATCTTATTGTGCTCGGCCGGAGCCTAAGCCCATATATAATATGCTGTTCATCCAGCAGCAGCTGGGGTACCCTGACCTGGAATGAGCAAGCTGCAAGCAGTCTGACTGAGACAAGGGCTAAGCAGGCTGTAACCTCATCTAGGTGGCAAGAGGAAAGCATCTTTCAGCGACCCTTCCAGCCAGTTAACAATGCCAGACTGAAAGGTTGAGTTCCCAGACACGGGAATGCTGATCACGACCCGGGAGCGGGGAGTGGATTTATTAAGGGAGCAAAGAAAGAAATACTCCCTGTTCCATCAAGGACTTTGCTCCCATTCTCCTCTGAGTGGCAGAGGGGTTTTGGCCTCTGATTTGAATGGAGAAGCAACAGGACCATCCTAGCAAGGATTCTCTATTTGAAGGAAATAGGGGGCTTATCCACTGCTGATTTCACTCACAGGGGCATGAGGAATGCTCTGTAAAGCATTTATAGTCCCTATTACAAACATACTGAGCCCCTCACTATCCTCAATGTAGTTATCTTCACAACCTTTCTGTGTGGCAGGGGAATACTGCGATCCCAGGACACCGCACAACTAATGCACGTCTTCATACAATACAGAGTCAACCTGTGGAACTCCTTGCCAGAGGATGTTGTGAAGGCCAAGACTATAATAGAGTTAAAAAATAACTAGATAAATTCATGGAGGATAGGTTCATTGATGGCTATTAGCCAGGATAGGCAGGGATGGTGTCCCTAACCTCTGTTTGCCAGAAGCTGGGAATGAGCGACATTTACCTGCTCATTCCCTCTGGCACTGGCCACTGTTGAAAGTCAGGATACTGGGCTAGATGGGTTTTTGGTCTGAACCACTGTGATGAGTCATACAGGCTTATGGAAGCGACATGCCCAAGGTCAACAGGAAGTCTGTGGCAGAGCAGGGAATTGCACTTGGGTCTTCCAAATCTTAGGCTAACCACTGGTCTATCTTCCTCCATTGTAGGTTTTAACATTTACCCGCCACATGCACCCCCCTAGTACCCTCTTGAACGAGGAGTTGCATTTCTTTTATTACCATGTTTTAAAGGACATAAGGAATGTACTGCCTGTAGAAAGAAGAGTACCGCGTCACCTTTAGTTCTCTGCAGAAGCAGTGCCATTTGAGCATCAGCGAAAGGAAGAACGCATGCTGGGGCATGAAGGATCTCCAGCCCAGCAGTGACCACAGAGTTTGGTCAAGGAAACCACATGGCATGGACCCAGAATTAAACTGAAGTCATGAATCTATGCTGGTATTTGAGCAATGACAGAGCTGAGGAGGTCTGCCCCATACACAAATATAAGGACCTTTTAGTCCACCCTAGAGCAGCTTGATTTCCCCTGCACCATACAGATTCCAAGTGCAGCTCAAAATCTTGACTGGTTCCCCAGAAGCAGCTCCCTGTCATGGCCACAGAGAGGGAATGCTGGGTGTTTGCTTTTTTCACTTCCCCTGCGTCTCACCTACACGCATCCCAAGAGTAAGAAGCAGACACAGACTCTGGTACAATAAGCGTATTTATTTACTGTGCAACACAAAGGCAAAACCACAGCTGCTGGGGATCACAGAGTCCTACACTGTCTCATGAGGGTTTTGCCACCGTTAGTGTAGTGACTAGTGACACTTGGCAGCCCCCAGAGGCTGACGGGCTGTTCTTACTACTAGCATTGGCACTGGGGCAGCAATGCAAGCACCCCACTGTATCCTGCTAGCTTGTCTCCTCCATGCTCTTGAGAGGCTGCCCTCCCTGCTTAGGGAGAAGTGGGAAGCTCCCCACAGCCCATTCACTCAGCTGAGGCTGCTAAGATCTTCCAAACTCGTTATTCTGACATCTCACGGAAACCTGATTTTCCAGAAGGCAGGAGCACAGCACTTCCTGACCATCAGGCCCCTTTGTGGCATCTCTGGCAGGGCACCCAAACCTCCTAGCTCCTTTTGGAGATTTTGGCCAAAGCTGTCCATTAGTGCCAGCTGGGGTGGCAATTCTAGCAGCAGGCAGGAGAGGTCTCACTTCAAGCCCAGTTTCTCCCTTTGACACACACACACACTCACTCACTCTCCTATCTCTGGCTCTGCTATGAGATGGGGCCATTGAGAAGAAGCTGGGGGCATAAGGTCTCAACTCGTCCTTTAATGAACAAACACATTATTTTGCTAAGAAAAAAGATCATTCCTCCTCTAGGTGAAGCCAGGGAAGGACGAGGGTTTATAGTACATATCACCGTGAGTGCCTCTCTTTGGTGAGAGACTGAATACTGCTCTAATAAAAAACACCCCCACACTTTTTGCATGATCATTTAAGAGGCACCCAAGCCAGAGCCAAGGAAGCTATTCTAAGATGCATTGCTGGGCCTCCGTGGAGGTGTCTCCTCGTGCACTCACTAGCCCTGAAACCCGAACTCCTTGTACTTGCTGGCCATGCTATTTCGGAACAGCTCCAGGGCCTTCCTCATCTCAGCCTGGGAATCGGCCCCAAAGTCCGCGGGATGCTTTTCAGCAATGACCTTGACAATGATTTCACAAATGAACTGTCAGGAAGGAGGAGAGGGGGGAAAAGAAAAATGGACAAGTTAGTGTCACTCACAGTAGGGAGTCAATCCAGTCAATTTCAGTCAATCCAGAGTAAAAAACTGGTCGCAGGTAATAGACATGACATTTTAGGGGTGTCTACACAAACATGGCAAGAGGAGGTATAAATCTACCCTGGGCTAGCCGGCTGTACACTGTGGCTGTGTCTAGACTGGCCAGTTTTTCCAGAAAATCAGCCACTTTTCCGGAAAAACTTGCCAGCTGTCTACACTGGCCGCTTGAATTTCCACAAAAGCACTGACTTCCTACTGTAAGAAATCAGTGCTTCTTGCGGAAATACTATGCTGCTCCCGTTCGGGCAAAAGTCCCTTTTGCGCAAAACTTTTGTGCAAAAGAGCCAGCATAGACAGCGCAGATTTGTTTTCCACAAAAAAGCCCCGATCGCAAAAATGGCGATCGGAGCTTTTTTGCGGAAAAGCGTCCGTGCCAATCTAGATGCTCTGTTCCAAAAATGCTTTTAGACCCTGCTGCTGCACACTAAACATTTCTTAGTGCACTTTGATTTACCAGAATGGGAGTGGATGAAAGTGAAACTTTTGATGCACGGCATCAAGGTGTCTACAGGCACTTGTAGCATGGCACACTCCTGCAGGGCACATTCACACACCAGCTTCCCACAAATTAAGAGCTGGCATTGACAGGTCCTAGGGCTGAATTCAGGAGTCCTTCCCTCAGACACTCGAGAAGCGCCAAGGCCTATGGAGCACTAGGCTGGGACATGGGGAGATACCTGGATTCCAGTCCTGGATCTGCCACCGACCTGCTTCTTGATCCTGGGAAAGTCACTTCCCCATTCATTCTTAGTTTGCCTGGTCCATTTACACTGAGTTTGTGTAGTGCACAATAGGTCCCTGATCTTCACTGGGCGTCTAGGTGCTGCTGTAATACAAAGCACCCTTGGGTGCTATCACTCACTGGTCTAATACAATCTGGTTCCCCACAAGTGCTGGCGCTGCACACACTGGTTAGTTATTGCTAAGGGTTGCGTATGAGCAATGTAAACTTGGGGACTCTCACACAGGAATCCAGCTCTTATACATAGACCTCCCAGTAATGAAGTGGTCTCCTACTCATCTAAGTCCAACTAGACATCGGTGTCCAGCGATACGACAAGGGATGTGAACGGTTAATCAGTTAACCAGTAAGCATCTCCTGGCCGCCGCCCGCCCCTTCCCTTCCCTTCCCTCCCCCCCCATTTAAGCGGTTAACTGGTTAAACACAATTATTAAACAGAATTTTACACCCCTAGATACAACCCCTCCACACACTGAAGCCCACGTTCCCTCCACACACTGAACCCCCCTCTGCCCCTAGAAACCCTCTTCAATTCCTGTACCTCCAGGTACTTGACAGGGATTTTATGCTTGGTAGCATGGCTCTCTGCCAATGGCTTCAGCTCCTGCTCATGATTGTTCTTCTGCTTCAGAATTCTGCCCAGGGCAGTAAGGACGGTGATGCCGTGCTTCTTCAGTTCATCTGAGCTCTTCATCTCATCCGCCGTCTTCAGGTTTTTGAACTTGGCAAAGAGGCTCTGGGTCTCAGGGTGAACCTGAAAGAGCCTGCAAACAGAGGCAGGGAACCCATGAGAAAAATACACCCACAAGAAATGCCAGTCTGGATCAAACCCTGTATTGTACCCATCTCAACACTGCAGTATGGTCGCAACTCTAAGCAAGCACACCCCAGCTAGCTTTAATTTAGCTAGATTGGCTACTGGAGCAGTGAAACTGAAGCAGAACGGACATCGGTGTGGCCTACCATCCACATAATTACCCAGGGTTCTTGGTAAGCTTGTCCTGTCCATGTGACTGGCTTTGCTGCTGTGGTATCCAAGCTAGCTAGAGTTTGGGTATCCCTATGCATATTGCTATCACGCTGCCAACCGGAGTGTAGACATACTCTTAGATAGTGATGCTTCACAGGAAAGTGTAAGAACCGCAGATATAGGATCATCCGTCTCCCATGAAAGTCTCATTCTGGTCCTCAATTGTTTGAGATTAGTTTTACGCTGCCTTGAAACAGGGGCGTTGGAACAAATTGTATAAGGTGGGTGTTGAGAACCATTGTGACAAACTGTAAACCCTGGATATGATGGAAACCAGTTCAAGTCAGACAGTGTGACAGCAGCACCTCCAGCATTCCTAGTTCTGGCATTTATGCCTTGAAGCCTGAAGTTTTAGATCCTTTCCAAGTTTTCAGCAATAGCTATGACAACTCAGGCTATTCCTGTCACCCACATACATTTCTAATCCCTTTTGGAACCCTGCTGTGTTCCTAGCCTCAACATCCTGTGAGTTCCACAGTCTAATTACATATTGCGTGGAAAAGTGTTTCCTTCTCCCCATTTTGAATTTGCTACTTTTGCATTGCATTGCATGTCCCATTGTTCTTGTGTTACAAGACAGGGAGTACAGAAGCTCCTTTCCTGGACCAAGCATAATTTTATAACATTTAATCCTGGCCTCTTGTATTTGTCTCCTTTCTAAGATGACCAATGGCAGGCTTTTCCATCTCTCTCCATGAGAGACCTTTGCAAATGATGCCTCACAGCAGGTGCCCAGCTGACTTGTTTTGCCCTTTGGCACCAGTCACCTGGGATTGTGCCAGTGTATTAGGATCAGGGTAGGAGCACAGGGCCAGCAATGACACAAAGAAGTAACTGACATTTGTCTGAGAGAACCCTTCTTCCCCTGCTTGTCATGGGGCTCTGCAGATTCACACAATTTAATGCGCTGCCTGCTTCTTCAGGCTCTCCTCCAAGAGGCATTGCAGCCATTAAACTCTGCATTCCCATCCAAACCCATCAGCACTGCTCTTAAATTGGGAACAATGTTAGACAGTGCCCCCATCCCGGAGCAACCTTGTACAGTACTTAAATACTGTAAATGCTTAAATTTCTGGGTCAGTTTATCAAGTACTACATGCACCAAGATGGGTCTTTTCCTTCTTGCTTGTTTCCTCTTCACGACCTAGTCTGATTGAGAAAGAAATGGCTGTCACAGAGGTATCTTTTAGGGGAGGACATGCAACAAAATCCTTCACTTAGTATCATTTGAAGTCTGTCGGGACCAACTAGCCTTGTTAAAATTCCACCACTAAATTGGAAGAAAATTATGATAATTTCTATGCTTGTGATCAATATCCCTTCACCCACTACCTGGCAAGGGCTAAATTGTGCCTGCTAAAGATAAGACATCCTCGGGACTCCTAAAAATACCTCTGATGAGCAATTTTTGTTTTGCTTGAAATGCGTCCAGTTGCATCAAGTGTCAACTATTTTCCAAAAATATTCCCAGGATATGATATCAACCTACAAGCTCTTTCACATAGCACAAGCTGGACACACCACTATGGCAAAAGAAATCTATGAGGCCTCCCTGTATTCAAATCGCTCTACATGAAACCAACTGGCTATTTAAGTCTTGAGGTAGGGAGAGATAAGCTATGTATGTTATATTATTAAAAGACTGCACTGTCAAGATGTATCTATACACCACCATGTCCAGCTTTTCCTATTGTTTATGCTGTCCTCATTTCCCCTACTCTCTCTCTCTCTGCCGGTCTATCTTTTCTGTTGTGAGCTCTCGGGAGCAAGGACAATTCCTTCTTTTTTGTTTGGAAAGTGTCTAACATATGGTAGCCACTACCAGAACCAAAAATTGTCATACAAGAATACTGCGCACAGGGTATTTTTCAAGAGCAAAGTATAGACCTTTCCAGTGAAGGGCTCTGTGTATGGGTTTGCCAAGCTATGTTGCTTCCACCCTTAAGCTATGCTGAAAAGAAAACATTCTCATTCAAAGAAGGGAAGCAGACGAAGAGATCCTCCAGTCGTCTGCACCTCGTCCTCTCTTTGCAAGCATACACCATACCACTGGTACCTAGGCTTTAGTACCAGCTAAAGGAGAAATCTTGTGGCAGACCCTAATGAAAATATCAACAATATGTCATTGGCCTCACATATAGGTGAAACGGCCTTACCGTATTACAAATAAAACACTCAACACAACTTAACCAAGAACATGTTTCCATGCAGTATTTTTGTCACATGTACCCCAGGGGATTTGTGACAACTGAAATTGGGCAGGCAGAACTGATACATAAAGGAGATCTCAATTTACATAGCATATGTCCCTTAGCAGAATGCTCACTCACACATGCCTTGGTGCACATACAAACATTTATGCTGCATATGAATGGAAAAAAATCCACACATGGATGGAAAAGATTAGAGGGAACATTGACGGACACTCACCTCACTCAGGCATTTTGTTTCACTGTGTTCTGTCAGTGGGGACCTGGAGGGTAGCTGCTGGCTGAAGGGGGCAAAGGGAATGAGTGACAAAACCTTTTGTGTAGGTGAAAGGGGGGGAAAACGTTAAAAAGTTATAAGCTTTCGACCCAGAAACCACAGGGACAAGGAAACCACTGCCCTAAGAAAGATCAATTTAAAAACAAGTCAGTTCAAACAATGTTAGAGAAAACTAAAGCTCCAGGGCTAATGAGGCACATTCACTCTCCTTGTGTTCTCACCTGTAAACCTTTAAGGGATACTCAAAAGCAGATTGTTCCTAAAATCCAGTGCACCAATCACTTGAACCATGCTCTCACTCAGGCTTCCATCACCAGTTTCCTGCCTACCTGATCATAACTTCCTGCCCGTGGGCAGGGATGTCTGATTCCACCTTCGCCCAGATGCCCAGGACATGCTGCCATTCATTATCACTGAGCCCCATAATTTGTTGGTGCTTGAAAAAAAAGGCAGAGAGGGGTTCAGGTTGTCTCCCAATTGATGCAGCTGTATGCCTTGCCTCCGAGTGCTCCTAGACAGCTCGCTCCTGGGGTTTATAATCCCTCCGCACAGACAGACACCTGTCAATTGTCAGATGGAGTGTCGCTCTCTTTCAGGCTGGTCTACCCTAATCTGCTCCTGTCTCTCTCTCTGGGAAGCTATTTTGGGTCAGATGCTCTTGTGGCTGCCACTGGTGGAATAATTTCTCCTTTTCCTATTGGGTTGGCACATGTCCCGTTGTTGTAGGCAGAAAGGGCACTATTGAAACGCAGTGCCAGGATCCTGTCACAGAGTTCCAGTCCCAAGGACCCAGGAGGCAGAGTCAAACTTTTAAGCTGTACGTCTCAGAACCACAGACTTAACAGCACCGAGATGGACCATGTCTGTCTGCCATGACCCATTCTCTCCACCCCATTCATCCCCACAGAATGGGCAGCAGGTGGGGGCTCAACTTTACTGATTACAAAGAGCATTTCCTTTCCACTGCTGATCTGGGATGAGATTTTAAATTTCCGTTGTAATAGTCATATTTTCGTTTCCTCCGATAAAGCAAGTGATTCTATTTTGGAAAATCACACAGTCTCATGAAGAAGTCTCCTCAAGAAGCTTTAGTTGCTCTGGGTCCAAGTACCATGTGTTCCCTTCCTCACTCCCCAGATCCAGAAAAAAACCAAAGGGGAAATTACATTATAGCACTGAAAGGCCTGAATGTTGCAATGGGGCACCCAGAGCGTGTCACGGAGGATTTATCAAACGATACAAAAACCTGACACTTTGGGGCTTAAAACCATCTCTAACTATCAGAGACCTAACGCTAGGGGCAGATTATCCCATATCTGCATATTGCAGGGCTCTGAAGTGTCTGGCACTGATACCTGACAGAGACAGGACTCTGGGTTAGATGGATCCAGGGTCTGATCTCATCTGACAATGTTTAGCTTCCTCATTGTTAACTGTATGTCTATATCCCTACATTCAAATACCTGCATCTGTTTGGAGACAGTGGGGGAAAGGGAGGGAGGGACAGCGCTGTGTTCACAGTTTGGAAGACTTACCAACCTTTTTTATAGCTCCATAGAGGGAGCTAGCCACAGGGGAAGGAAAGACAACAGGCAGGCATATTCAAGTGGTAATTTAATCCCTCCCAGGTTCAAGAAATCCTTATTGGCATGGTCAGAACATGGCCTGATGATAAAATTAATATGCACCTATAGCTGAGGCTAAGCAGAAGTATATATGCACAAAGGGAGCTTTTGTTAAGAGCTGAACATTAATACTGGCTTAGAACTTGAGAGCTCTGTGTTCAGTTCTCTGCTCTGCCACAGACTTCCTATGTGACCTTAGGCATGTCACTCAGGCTACAGCTAGACTGCAGGCTTCCTTCGGAAGAAATTTTTCTGGAAGAGCTCTAAAAAAACTTCCAAAAGAGAGTGTCCACACTGCCAATGCACATCAAAAAAGCAATCTGCTTTTTCCACAGATAGCACACTGAATGGATGCTATCTCGCATTTAAGCTGTGATTACTATGAATCGAGTGGCCACCAGGGCATCTGTGCATTTTCCTCTTTCCTCTTCTTTGGAAAGAACTCCCTCTACCCCGTCTACACACACCTTTTTCCGAAAGAGCTTTAGGAAAAAGGCTTCTTCCTCGCAGGCAGAGGTTTACCAATGTCAGAAAAACCCCTCTGTTCTTTCGATTTTTTTTTTCAAAAGAACACGATTGCACTGTGGACGTAAGTGAAGTTTTTTTCAGAAAAATGACAATTTTTTCAGAGAAAAAAAACACCCCTGTAGTGTAGACATAGCCTCAGTCACTCTGTACCTCAGTTTCCCAACAGTAAATGGGAATAATAGCAGTGCTGTGAGTATAACCTAGCCCTGAGGCATGGGTGCAGCCTTCTCCCTTTTCTCTTCAGGGATATGGCTCCTGAGGCACCTGGTTCCTCCACCCAAGGAAATGTAGAGGGCCTGTTCCTTGGCAAAATATTTAACACCCATATTCATATAGAGGAGTGTTAGTCAGAATACACAACAATAAAACAGTTATATCAGTTCCCATAGTAATAAAACAACAACCAATACACCAACAAAAGACTAAATTAGTCACCTATAAACTACACCCACTTAATATTTACAGCCAGTGCAACCCCCCTGCTCCCTCTCCCAGCAGCCAGCCTCTGCCTAGGCAAATAGTGAGGTCAGGCTCTGTCTTTGATGCAGGCTGCAGTACTGCAGTCAGTGTGTGGCTGGCTTAACACACATCATCAAAATAAACATCAAAATAAGGGTGTTTTTTATGCAGTACTGTAATCCCACCATTCTGTAGTCTGGACTTAAGTGTACAGTTAGGCTGGCTTTCGATTTGCAGCCGTCCTGGTGTTTGATTTAAACTGAGATGACATCGTCCATTTTTCCAGAAATTTCAAAAGGTCTTCAAATCTTCCCTTGGGTAAGAACGTGGAGGGTAGAATGGTTTTCCCTGGCTGTGAGGCTACTGTCCCTGCTATACTCCCAACACAACCAAAAAGCCAGAAGTAAACCAAATCCTTTGTTTCTGAGGTTTGGCTTTTGATTGGCTCTGGTAGCATCCTCTGCTTTCTTTTCTCCTTGCCTGAGATTCTGGGCAGTCTGGGAAATGCGGTACTGAGCCTGTGTTGCTATTGCTGGGGTAAGTGTAAAGGCAAGCCCCCGAGGTGTACAGTATAATATGTCAGGAACAATCAGTTCCAGAGAGGGCTACACACTCCCACTTCTGGAGAAACTTGATGTTCCCATCAAGCACTTCAAGAGACATTTAAAACGATACATACATTATATTTCATTTATTGGTCCTACTGAAACACGCTGTTCTACTGAAACCTGAGGACGACATGCAGGTAGTTTTAATGTTGGACAGCGTGCTCATGACACCTACTTACACTGCTCCAGGAGAGGGGCACTGCAGGAGACAGTAGGGGTGTCATAGGTCTCACCTCTTGACCAGACTGTTTGGATTTAGCTGCAGTCTTGGCAGCAGGAGGACATGTACTTCCCACCTCAGCCTCCACACCTGGGTCTGCAACTTCTCTCTGGATAGGATTCTTCTCTACAACCATGGCCATGCCATCTTGATTATCTGGTGGAATGAAAGGCTCAGCCATAGGGCTTAATTTACCTAGAGCAGTAAAGTTTTGTTGAAACTAGGGGGGGGGTTCGTTTCATTATGAGTCTTGTCCCTTCCAAACGTTATCAGATCAATGTGCTCATAAAGCATTTCCCCACACGGGGTGCTGGCTCTGTAGCATTAGTACTGGAGTCTTACTGTGCAAGGATCAACAGATGATTTCTTTGGAGAGTTTTGCTAGGTTCTCTTCCTTCCTCAGCCAAACTTTGTAGACCAAAAGACCTGGCACCTTCTATGATGTAGATTTGGTCTTGCAACAATCAGCAATCGAATGTTTTTCCTGGAGCCCAAGTTTTTGCATTAAGATCTCATCCCAGGTTTGAGGGCTTGATCTCTTAGGGTACGTCTACACTATTACTAAGGTAATTCGAACTAACGGATCTAGACTAAAAAACTAGTTCGAATTAGCGTTTTGCTAATTCGAACTAGCATGTCCACATAGAGTGGACCCTGAACCAGGCTTAAGGATGGCCGGAAACAGTGCCGGCAGGGCATCAGAGGAGGACTTAGAGTGTGGAGATGCTGTCTCAGGCTAGCCGAGGGCTGCACTTAAAGGGTCCCGACCCCCACCCCGGACAGACAGTTCTCAGGGGTGCCCCACTTGCAAAGCAGTCCTGGCTTGGAGTGCCCGGAGTACCCACACTGGGCACATCACAGCACTCGGCCATCAGCCCGGCTGCACTTGCCGCAGGCTGCCATCTGGGGAGAGGGGGCAACTGGGGGGCTGCAGGAGAGCTTC